TCTGCACTGGCAGTACATTTTAGTAGAATATTATAGATGACCAGAGCTAAATTAGAGCTAGATTATATTGCTGCATTCTGATTATATTGCTGCATTCTGATAGCAAGATAAATACGTGCAACCGCTGAACTGTTCATGTCGATAATCGGGGCCCACTGCCGATGGTTGCAAGTGTATTAGGCAATGAGGTTGCGTTAAGGTTGGACAGTTGCATTAAAGGAAGAAAAGCAGTTTGAATGTACAGAACATTTAGTGGTTTGTAACAGATCCTGTTTAGTGCATGTTACTGATACGTGAAAGGGGTGATTTCATGCACACGTTTTGGAATATTTTTAATAGCAGAGATGTTTTTTCAGCACTTGTTTTTGAGCAGATCAGGGCCCAGTTTGTTTCAGATAGAAATGGTTGCCTACACACAGGCATCTAGAGCAACCTAAGATGCCCTGGGCTATTCAAGCTACCTGCACAGGGCTGGCAGATAAGACACAGGATCTAAGGAGACCTGCAATCTCTGCTAAAGCAGATGGAAGTGGGGTATTTGACAGCTCCCAAAATGACACACAAGAGCTATGTTCAGATAACTGAATCCTGAAAGGGCAGGATTTGAGATCGAGTCAATACAGTCAATGGAGCCTAGTGGACAATTCAGCTCACACTGAAGCATAGACTCAGCGGTGTCTCAGCCAAATCGTCCTCCAGGCTCCGCTAAGTCACCCTGGAGAGCCAAGCGTATTGACTAGGGGACTGATTCAGTTGCCTACACTCAAGATCTTTTGCCATCAGGTGCCCTGCTGTATCTCGCCAGCTTCCACTCCAGAAAGATACAGGTCTGTGTTATACCTATCAGCCTCACGCATGTGTCTTGACAGCCACAGGGCATGCAAACGGCACCACACACCTCTGTGCAGGCAAATGAATGGAGCCTTTGATCTCTGCTGGCTATAATGGAAGAAGCTTGGAGCATATACGGGACACTTACAAATAGCTAAATTTAGATGTCAATCACAAACTAAATACTGCCCAAATGCAAGTAACTCTATAGCCGCTTTAATATGTGCCTAGTCAGCTCTGGCACCCAGCATATTTTCAGCTGCACCCTGCTTCCTTGGTCACAGGCAGCTCTGAAAGGTTGGTGCAGTGACATTACATTAGCTCTGCTGCAGCCAGGGACTTCCTCCACTCCTTGCAGATCTGCATGTGACCAGATGCTATCCTGGCAGCATAAGCAGCCAGAGTTGGATGCCAGTCCTGTAGGACATGGAGAGCAGAGGGATGAAGAGATTATAGGACTGATACTCCTCTTGGTAGCCACAGAAAACGCAAGCTCACCAGCAATCTCATGGTCAAATTTAAGGTCTAAAGCAAAAACCAGGATATAGGCCCCACACTTGTTTCCTCAGAAGAATATTTTATATTATTCTGTGATTTTTCAATGTGAACTATATAAGCTCCAGGGACTTGGAGCTAACGTGCTAAGACAAGTCTAACAACCAGGCTATAGTTTCAGACTCCTTTTGGTCTGTATGCCCTCTGGTCTCACGGTCTTGAGTTCTTGTTTGGGCTGTGGCCCATCTGTAGTAAAAAAAAAAAACCTGCTAGGTCTGCTCTGGTAGTCAAAGTATTTTCCTCAGAGTGAGTTTGACTCCAGTCAATCTGAGGAGGACCAAAACCCAGTTCTCCCACTTCCTAGGAGTTACCCAAATCTACAGACTATTGTATAAACTACCGTATAAAAAGAGTTACCATTAGCCTTGACTGCTTAGGGTTTGGGTTTTCTTAATGACAAGTGGCTATAGTATGATATTATGTGCTGAATTCAATCCAGCTGGTCTAAAAGTCTCCATCAAATCAGCACTAGGATGCAGGATGGACCAAAGAATCCTGCCTTGGAGACACCCATGGGACGGGACCATTCTGGGGAGCTGCGCTGGTCCGCGAGCCCATTTGCTCAGCTGCCCAGCCCTGGGCTTGTGCAGGAGGGAGAACAGGAAGCGCCTAGGAAATGTTTGGATCCAACATAGAGGAGCTGGGGAGTTCAGGTGTCAGTGGAGAGACAGTCACTGACCGGTGCCTTCTTGGATTGTTCCTTCGGGTTAGGGGCTCAAAGACTCCCCAAGTTCTCCTTCAGATGCCTGAACCTTTCTTGGGATCAGGGTCTCGTTTCCTCCAAATCAAAACTGCTACAGACTCAAAAAAGGACTGGGGTCAGAGGGATAAGAATCTTTAGCTACTCTTGACCGTATGTAAGTGTAAATCAACACAATAAACAATAATAACCCCTAATCTTCCACCCTCCCAACTCGTCCACCATGAAACCACCGTCTCTGTTTTTGGACTCACTTACACAGGGAGACACCATAGATCAGGCAGGACCTTTAAATGCCTTCTGTGTGCCTTAGAATTAACTTGCAGTACTGCAAATAATGCTATAAATTAAAATTGGAAACAGAGTTAAATGTTTTCAAAAAATAAAAACAATGACTGTAAATTTGTTACAGCAAGAGATGAGAGCTAGGAACTTGAGAATTATTTTCCCCTTTGTAGCTTGGTTGCCTGCATTGCTACATTGTACAGTACAGCTTGTATGATGAGAGCTAAGAATAAAGCTTTGTATCACTTTGTCTTCTTTGATTGTATGAAGTCATACCCTTTAAATGATATCAATGTTGGTTTCTGCTGTACTTTACAGAGTAAATCATTACAACTTGTTTCTTCTGACTAGAGGCATTGAAATGTGTTTATAAAACAGGCATTTGCAAAGCAGATGGTGAATACTCAACGTCTTTTTTTTCCAGGGGATTAGAGAGGAAAGAGCACGTTTTGGTTTTTTTAAAAGTTCCCAGCCCATCTGACTGGGATCAGCCTTAAAATTAAAAAAAAAAAACAAAAACAAAAACATAAGTTAAAGTAAATCTTATGGTTGAACTATTTTCCTTACATTCCAAATAGGGGAGGATGAATTGAAGAAAGAAGCCACTTTTTAGCCAGATGAAAACAAAACAAAAAAGTTTTGTCTGTCACGGTTCAGTGCATCATCACAGAAGAGACATCCAGTACAAAGAACATCCAGTAAAAAAGAATGAGGAATTCTTTAAAAGAGTTTTCCAAGCTTCTGCGAGACAAAGGAGCTTATAAATGAATGAATTCAAGACTTTTTCAGTGAACAGTCACCTATAATAGGTAGAAAAACACTGTACAGTAAAGTACCTGCAATACATTATGTATGGAGAGAGAGAGGGAGCGTGCATGTGTGATCCCATATATACATATATTAGTACATTGAATGCAAGTTTCTTTTAAGCCAGGGGACTTGCATGGAAATGGCAGCCTCTCTCCAAAAGTGTGGAAACACTGCCATATAAATGTATCTTAAATACGCTCTGACACTTCAGCTTGGAAAGAGATGGCTGAAGAGGCATGTTATAGGGGTCTACCGACTCCTGAGCGGCATGGACAAATGAGCAGGGCATGACTGCTCTGTATTTGTCAGGAAATGAGAATGAGGGTGTAACCAGTGAAGGTATTGCATAAAAGGTATCAAACAAAAGACAGCATTTTTCCCATAGCCCAAGACCGAATTCATTGCCCCATGATGTTGCGGAAACAACAGTATAAATGAGTTCAAAAAGCAAGCAGAAGAATAAACAGAAAAAAATTCCACCACAGTCTAATAAACACAAAGATGAGGCTAACGGCTCTACTTCAGAAATACCCACCTACTGCCAAAAGTTGGGAGGGACACTGAGGGAAGCATTACCGTGTGTTTACCCAGTCTTAAAATAATCTTTCCCTAAGCATCTACTGTCAAGCACGCTACTGTCAAGCTAAATGAGCCTCTGGACTAATACAGTGCTGTGCTTTCATATTTTGGTTAAAATCCTCTTTTCCCACAGAAACTCCAACTAAAACAATGCAAAACCATGCCCAAGGCCAAGACCATAGTAAACCTGGTGAGACAACTATCAATATTATCCAAGGTGTTTAAATACAGAGGTGAGAAACTGACCTACATGGGGTTTTGTATGGAAAAGAAGCAGGAGAACCTCCACAGAGGCACACTGAGAAAACACCAAGAAATATGGTGGAGGAACCACTATTGTAATATAGCACTTATAAAAGTTGAAGATGACAGAGGCACAGGAAGAGCTTTAATATTCGCTGGCTGAAGAGACTTGGAGCTGTAAATAATGATGCCAGTGCCCTGCGATTTACTCCTTTGGAGTTCAACAGACAAAGCATTATGTATATTATAGCAGATATTGCATTACACAGATATAACGGATATAATGGGATTATACCAAAGAAATACCAAGATCCTCCAGCTAGGCCAAAAATCATTATGAATATTTTCATAATTCAGAATTAGCGCTTAACAAAAATAAGAATGCAGTCTCCTGCTCTATCATCTCCTTCATTCTTCGTCCCTCTTTCTCCCCATTGGAAAGTTTACAGGATTGTCATTATTTTCAGTAACTCTGCAGGGACGTCCTTTGAAAGCTACTCATTTGGAAGATAATGCCAAAAGTACACCAGTGTCCAACACTGGTATAAAAGTATCTGTTTTCACCACAGGGGAATCGGGCAAATTCTTAAGCTCACATCTGAAACAAACGTACAGAAGTCAAGAGTTTTCCCTCACCCCACCCATTCTTTCCCTGCTGGTGTCTCTAATCCAAATTATGGTTTCCCTTCTCTTTACTATGAAGACTCCATAGACGCTTCGCGTAAGACTGTGCTGCTTACCACTGATTGTGTTCCTCGTGTGGAAGACGTTGTAACAGGAGTTATAGTGATAGTACTTGTCACTTTGCTTGCTCCAGGTCGTGAGGACAGATTGTTCCGGGGCGATCGCAGGACGGTACCAGTCACAACTTCTTTTTCTGCTGCTATGTTCACTGGTCTGACTGTTATCACAGGGCTTGCACCGTCAGATGCAGCACTAGGAGAGCGCTTAAACTGAGAACCTAAGTGGATGTGAATTTTGTTGTCTTCTGTTGTTATAATGTTGGCATTGGCATTGTACTTCCGAATTGGAGTTGGGACAGTTTGTTTTTCCGGTGTTACTTTGAAGACAGCCCTTCCCATGGTCATATCTTGTGACTGCGGAGAAACAGAAATTTCTGCTGGTGCTGCAGATGTCGATACTGTCATAATCTGGATTGGTGATGCAGGTCTGTCCACAAAGGGTGCTCTTCCTCCATCTGGAGACTTTTCCCTGGAGAATGTTGTTATAGTGACTGGAGACATAGAGCGATCTGGGCCCATCGGACTTTCACTGCCTTTTCCTTTTGGGGACATAACGTTTGGAGAGGGAATGATGGTTATTCGTGGCTTCTGATTTCCCAAAGTAGGAATGACAGTGGTGCTTGAAAAAAATTCCTCTGAGGTTGGACTGGTTATCTCCAAAGTAGCTGTGCTATTCTCATGATCTGGCGTCACCCGAATATGAAGAGGTTGACCTTGCTTTGGTGATAGGACAACCTCCCCAGGATGGCCTGCACTACCATGGCTTCGGGCTCCTTTGTCAGGAGTTACCTGAGCCCCAGTTTCCCTCTTCCTCATCCACGGTATCCAAGATTTCCTCATTGCAAGTTCATTAGCTGCTGGAGGATATCTCTCAAGCACTGAAGAACGCTCCATGGGTTTTTTCAGACCTACCTGTCGCAAATTGCTCATGATGTGATTCTCCTCCTGGAAAGACTTCCTTATAAACACAGCTGGAGTTTCTTCTTCTGCTGCTTCACTGCTTACAGCATCTGTTTGCACACCAGTGGATGTCACAGGAACATCTACCATTCTCCGTCCATTTATGCTGGGCCTCAGAGCACGACTGTAACGCTTAGAAAGCTCTAACTCTCTTGTTAAGTTCAAAACTTCCTGTCCCATGCTTTTGTTCTTATTTTCTTCTTCGATAAATCTCTGCTGAAGAACTGAATAATCAACTTGGATCTGGGAAAGCTGGTCTTCTTTATTCATCAGCTCATGGATTTTCTCCTTAAGAGCTTGAACTTCTGCTTTCAAATCTCTGTTTTTAGCCTCTTCCAGACGAAATCTGTGCCTCAACTCTGCTTCCTGACTCACTGCTTCACCTTTTTCTATTGCTTTGTTTTTGGCAATCTGGAGTTTCATCTCCTCCAACTGTTGAGAAAGAAAGTTAGCTTTGTCTTGCTCAGTCCTAAATTTCTGCTCTAGCTGATCATATTCATCTTCCGTCTTCATCAAATCTCCTTCAACCACTTCCAATTGCTTGAGACGTTTTTTCAGTTTTTCAATTTCAACGGTAAGTTCTTTAATCTTGTTGTCCTCATGACAAGCATGCTCTGGTCCTTTTCTGGCTCGACCCCTTGTTATTTCTCTTTCTACTTCCTCCATACCATCAATTCTTTTCTTTAACAGGTCAACTCTGCAGCTTAGTTCAGAGGATTTTTCTTCTTCACTTCTCAGTTTGCCTATTAACTCATCTCTTTCCTTCGTTAAACTAGACACCTTTTCCTCCATTTCAGATTTCAATTTCAAAAATTTCTTACTTTCTTCTATCAGCTTCTCAGTAACATCCATAACTTTCCCTTGTTCCACTTTAAAATTCTTGTTTAAACCCTCAACCTTTTTTTCCTCCTGCTTTATTTTTTCCATCATATTTTTTCGTTCATCAACCAACATTACAGTAAATGACTTCAGCTTTGTAAGGTCATCTTTTAAGCTTATTTCAGCCTTTTCCAACTTGCTTTCTGATGACTCAAGGTCTTTTACTCGAGTCTTCACCACTTCCAACTCATTTATCAAATCTTTAGTCACATTCTTTTCTTTCTCCAAGCTTAAGTGTAGCTGGGTGCATTCAGACTTACTTTTACTAAAAGCCTCTTCCAGTTTCTCTAGTTCTGCCATTCTTTTCTGCAATTTTTCTACTTCAAGTTTCAGCTCCTTGCTATGGTGCTCTTCTTCTTGCAGTTTATTCTTCAGCTCTTTACACTGGGATTCAGTTTTTGTGATCTCTTCATCTTTTCCCTCCATTTCAAGCACACGCTTGCGGAGGTTTTCTACTTCTGCCATTAAGCTAGAGTTCCCACATTCCCCTTTTGCTATCTTATCTCTTAGTTCCTGAAGTTCCTCCTCAGCTTTTTGAAGATTTTTGTTAGTTTCTTCAAGCTCCTCTATTCGACGAGTCAACCCAACTAGCTTAAGCCTTAGCTGTCTATTATGTGACTCCTGATTAACCAGTTTAGCAGTCATCTCCTCATGTTCTTGAGAAAACGATAATGTCCTGTGTTCAAGTTCTGTTTCTAACTTCATCAGTTTTTGTCCATCTTCTTTTGTTTTTGCGCTAAGAATTTTAAGCTTTTCTTCTTCTTCCTTTAGTTTTTGATTTAGGTCTTGTATTTTCTGGCTTTGTTGACCAAGTTGTTCAATATGCATTTGTCTTTCATCCACCAGCATGAGTGCAAACGATTTGAGCTTAACTAGTTCTTCTCTTAGTTTACTGAGTCTCTTTGTATGTTCTTTCTCCTTGCGGGCTTGATAGATCTTCTCCTGCTCAAGAAGTTTCTTCAACCTGAAACAAGTTAGAACAGATGCATTACTCTAGAATATACATAGTGGCTGTTTATTTCTCCATTTTTAAATCACTTTCATTTCGGGAAGATTTTTTTTTGCATTAATGTCCTAAGTAGTCTTGCAACAGGTAACTACCTACCACAATTACACTCCCTAGCCAAAATATTTTAAATTACAAAAGTTAACTGAAAACTTATAGAGAACACCTAGAATTCTGAAAATCAGTGAAATAGTATGTGTATGTATACATACATACCTACACATATATATATATAAAACAAATAGAACCCTTTTTAATTTCTTCACATTTATTTCTCTGTTAGGATGATGTTGGTGAAAGTATACCATATCCCAAAAGGACAGAAATACCTACTTACCAATCCATTTATACTGAACTTGTTTCACAAGATGGATTCCTCACCCACTTGTTACACGCCCAAAAATGTGTAATATGAATTTAAAAAAAAATGAAACTTATTACTACTTGCAGCCATACATAAATGGATCAATCTCGGCCGTAAATAAATCAGCTGGACAGAAGAACACTACATTAGCATTTGACTGATAACCATCTGGGTGTCACTGGAGGAAGAAATTAGCAGGAAGAGAAGTCTGCCAGCACAGTGACTATTATGTTAAAAGGTTTATATTCCCAGATTTATTTATTTCCCAATTCCATTTACAATAGTAGATGTTGCTGACTGCAAGGGTCAGACTAATCAAGTCTTTGGCTACAGCTAGCCACAGCTGGAAAATGCTCTACTTCATATCCCGTAACGCTGTATTTCCAGACAGTATAAAAACTCATGATACACAGATTAGGCCTATCCTCAGAAAGATCGTTTAGACCTATATTTTCCAGGCTTATCCATGCAACTTTTCAATGGAGCAGTGAAGCATACTTTTAAGCATTTTATATCCGTGCTTCATATTTAGGATACAATGATATCAGCACAGGAAGTGCCTGCACGTATGTAAGCATAGATTTATGAGGACAGTGATCCTCAACTTATAAAGAGGTACAGATAACACAAGGATACATGTCCCACTAATTCAAGAGTCTTACTGGAAAAGCAGCAACATGACATAGAAAATAAGACACAGGCATGCATGCTGAATTTAGCATGAAATGACGTGTCTTTCAAACCAATGTCCAAGTACCTGCAACTCCCATATGAAAATACGTGTAATGATTCAAATCCACCTGCTTTGCTCACCCTATGTCTAAAACATTTAAATTTCTTTGTAGCCGAGGCACACAATGGAGTGCTGCAGGAGAGCAACTTATCACCTGTCAACTAACTTGTAGTAATTGTAACATCCGAATCTTAGCAAAGATTGACTTTTATCAGTAGTTTTATCTGAAACGCTAGACGGTAGTGGGTGAAGCACAGATATACATTCCTCTCTGCTGCCCCAGCAATGAAGAGCAACAAACAGCTCCAGGGCACAACGTCCTACACAGAGGGTGTCTCTCAGAGCACTCACCTTAACGCTAAACTAAGAACAACAGCCTTATTAGCTTCTCCAGCAACTATTAATGTTTCACTCCTCACTCCTCAGGGACCAGAAAGAACAGGAACTGGAATGAAAAGCTATAAGACAAGAGAAGGAAGCCAGAAAACAGAACACAGGATGCAGTAGGTAGGGAAGGAGAAGGCTGAAGAATGCATTTGAAAACAAGAGTCGGATAGGATGTGGGAGTAAAAGAATAGTAGGAACCAGCAGGAGAGAGAAAAACAAACAAACCTTATAGCCAACCTTGCTGGGTCACAGATTAATCTCAAAAAAATCTCTTTGGTTTTGGCAACTCTTTGGAAAGGACTGAAAAGACATGCTGGTGTGTGCCTCATTATGGGTCAAGTTAGAATGTCAAAAGGTAAAAAAAAGACCCGCTGCCACTCACAAAGCACTCAATTTTCACACTGAAGAAGGAACTTTATTAGCATGCAATATATTCCCTAGCTATTCTATCACACTGCTTTATTCAAAAGTTTCTGCCAAGAACTCTCCCTAGTCTCCCCCATCCTACGTTGTTAAAGAAATAGCATGTGTCCTTTCCACAAAATATTATTTGCTGAGACAGAACACTCTTACCTAACCTGGTGGTGTTCTAAATGAGCCATCTCCCAAAGTCATGCAAATATCATGAAAATATGAGCGCCTGAAGAAAGAGAACGCTTCCAACTCCCATTGCACCATAGGAAAATGTTAAGGTGGCCCCTAAAAATTCAAAAACCAGAAGAAACACACAGTGCTTTGTTTTCTTTTCTAAAATCTTGCTGCTTTAAAGCCTATCTAAAGATGCTCAGAAAACTGCCTATGGGTCTGAATAGCTAGGCTGTGCCTAACAGGCATGTGTGATTTCTGCATAGCAGTTGCTAGAGGCAGTGTATGCCAGCCAAGCTCCTAAGCCGAGTGCAAAACAGTTCAGTGAGACCCACAGTTACCTGAAGGTTAAGTGAAGAGTATCGCTGAGAAAGCCCCTTAATGGAAAAGGCGCACATACGGGTTTATTAAGCTAAGACAAAGAAATGTCAGGGATGAGGCTCAAGAAAAAGAGAAGAAAGCGCATTAGCATTGTCACTGCCTTGCTGTACCTATCAGGAAAGTCAGCAATGCGCAGTCTCAGGCTCTGCCCCTCTCGGAAAAGCCAAAATGAAGTGTCATTACCATGCCAGCATGACTGGGTGAATTAGTTAGCATCTTGAACAAGGGTAGGAAGCACTGCAGAGCATTCTATCCTGCCCCAATTTCTATACAGTGAAACTAGACTGCCTAAGATTTAACAAGTGACCTTTCACAAGAAGTAAGATAACTGAAGATATCTTTTTCTGTTTTCTATGTCCAGGGAAACTGTTTCTAAAATCTGTTTCTGTGGGGGATGGATGGGAAAGTAGCTTCCAAATCTGTGTAGATGTCAAAATAATAAACAAAATACACACTTTTTTCAGTGTTATTATTTCTAAATTCTAAAGTAAAGCTGAATTTAGTCGTGCTTTCGTATCTTCTGTATAACTCTCAAAACTCAGTGGTTAAACCAGAATTTCAGCAGAATTCCCAGATGATGTTGTCCCATCTTGATGCTTACAACTGACTGTCAGGCTTCTCATCTAACTGCTGCTGCTGCTGCTGCTGTTTCCTGAGTAACGCAGATCTGCATGGGCTCCAATGCAACCCTAAAGGCACCTTAGGGACTCAGAGTACGTAAGCACCTTAGGGACTCAGAGTACGTATGTCTTTTACGTATTTACGTATGCGTTATACAGAACAACTGCTCTCTGCGTTGTCAAGAGGTTGACAACACCTGCATTCAGGGTCAAAATAAACAAAAGGGAAAAAGAAAAACTTTAATAAAGAAATGTGGAGCTAGATAGAGTCAGAACACCAACAAGCCAACAGTCTGGCACCCTGAGCCCAATGCCTGTATTTGCTATTTTGGTTTTTTTTGTTTGTTTTCTAATCGCTGAGGCATATTTGGATAAAATAATATAATCTGCATTAATAAGTGTCAGTAAGAATGTCAAGGGCTCAGGATTTCAGGACACAGCAGGGAAGGAAGCAAACCAAGTTCCTTGTAAAAAAGGAGAGGAGAATGTCTGATTGCCTTTGGAAAGCCCTGTTAAGATCTAAGGAGTATCCTCTTCTCCCCGTAGGTTACCATATGTATTATGTCAAAACATATAGCCCAAATCATTCTCTGAATACATGGCCTTCTGCTGTTGTGAGTGTCTTCCAGTCTTACAGGTGCTCTCTCCCTCTCCTAGATTTCTTTGGAAATCTGACCCCCGCCGCCACAGTATTCGAAGATCGTGGGCCCTACAGCTACCCAGCGTTCAAGAACATCATACTCATCTTTACAGTACGTTGCATTAATAGTAAAACTTTACGCATGAATATCTGTTAACTGCCTGAGTTAAAAACAAATGTTGTGGCAGGACAGTGCTATTCACTAATTTTGCATAATCAAGAAAGATGTATCTGATTCTCACGGGTGCTGAGGCAGGACACTGACCTACAAAAGCTGCTAATGCAAACGAATACACTCGCCTCTGCATCGGGGAGCTACATCTCCTGCTTCCTTCCACATGCAGAAAAGCTAGCTGTTTATAGACTGATCGAGCAGCGCTATAACAGCACAAGAAAAGTCTGTGGCTAGCAATGCAAGGGAGTCAAGAACATGACGACTTCCAAAAATCAATCTCAGCTTGCAGAGCCGGTAAACATCAGAGAGGAGAAAGAGCAACTAATGAGTTAGTTTGAACCTCCTTCTGAACTGAGTAATGGAAACAGCCCTTCAGCAAGCAAAGGATGGATAACAAAGGATGGACTGGATGGATAACCAGGTTTTCTCTGTCCTCCTTCCTTTGGGTTTGGAGATGAACCTTTTCATTGCACAAGATCTTTGTGCTTCCTCTTCCCTCCTCCAAAGCTTTAGATTGACTGTCAGAAGCACCACGGGATGCTGAATAGCTGCTGATCCCTCTCCCTCCAGAGATGTGGTTTCATTTCTTACTTTTATTAGTACTATATACCTGTGCTTTGTCCTACCAGCTGACTGACTTCCTCACGCTTGGGCTAATCATTCCTTCAGGTTTGGAAGATACCTTTTTCCACAAAGCAAACCCAGCCAATACTCTACAGTTGTTGGGTTTTGCGTTTTTTTTGGTTTTCCCCCCAGGTACATGCCAGCTATCAGAAAGTCTAGTAATTATGTCAGTGCATTTGCAAGAGACCATCATGGAGTATGGTGCAGACTCATTTTGTAGAATGGCACATGTCTGGCCTCTGGCAATGGGAATTGAGTTTAGCTGGGAAGAGGAGACCAACACAGGCAAGGCTTCGGTCTGATGCATGTGGCGTGCCAGCCTTACACAGGCCCCTGGCTCCCACCTGAGGACAGGTGACAGAGGACACAGACCACTCTACTAATCCTTTTAATGTGAAATAAATAGAGACTGAAGGGCTCCTAATTAGAGTCTGCGCTAGATAAATTCT